TAACGCATAACTGTTTGTGACCAGCTCTAAGAATGTATGCTGTAGACTAGTGCAGTTTTAAGCAATCACATCTTTACTTGCACAGAAGAGCCATCTAGCAACTGTTAACAGAACTGCAGATTTTCTCTTCATAACAAACATTGCAACTGGCTCTTTGGAAAAATGCGCTTCGTTGATGCGGCCTTAGTGGGAAATGCTAGGAAACTTCCAGAGCATGTCTGGAAGGGCTTAATGCTAACTAAGTCTCTCTTGTCCCCTGACTAGAACTGAACCGTCACCACTACTCCCTGTACGTGCACAACTGCAAGCTGATGTTCCTGCTCCGCCACGATGGAGGTGATCTGGAGACCTTCCGCCCTGCTGAGTTCCACTGGAAAATCCCACAGGTACAAAACCCTTTCATACTTCAGGTTTGGTGTTGGTACTGTGAATATTTTGCATCCTCATTTAAAGAAAAAAACTTGATTAACAATACTTTTATTGTGGGGTCGTGTGGCGTAACGGCAGAGCATTTGGCTCAGAGCCAATAGGTTCCGGGTTCGAATCCTGCCATGTCCCCAACCTTGTGCCCCTGGGGAAGGCACTTTACACGATGTTCCTCACTTCGCTCAGGTGTTAATGAGTATGCCAGAATAATCCTTATCATGATCGTGGGCATTATCATGATCGTGGGCATTAAAAGAAAAACCAAACCTAGAGACTAACAAGAACTACGGAATTTTAAAAGAAAATGTGTTTGTTTTCAGGTTTGTGACAAGCAGTGGCATCACTACGCCATCACTGTGGACTTCCCAGAAGTGAACCTGTACGTTGACGGCATCCCGTACAGCCCCTTCCTGGTCACCGATGACTGGCCGCTCCACCCCAGCAAGTTTGACACCCGCCTGACCCTCGGCGCATGCTGGCAGGGTAAGAACAGTTCAGCTACTGTGTGATGTCTTCTAAAATCATTTTTTTTGTGTGTGAAATTTTCTAAAATGATTTTTTTGTGTGTGAAATTTTCTAAAGTGATTTCTTTTGTGTGAAATTTTCTAAAGTGATTTTTTTTGTGTAAAATTTTCTAAAATGATTTTTTTTGTGTGTGAAATTTTCCTAAGTGATTTATTTTGTGTGAAATTTTCTAAAGTGATTTTTTGATGTGTAGAATTTTCTAAAATGATTTTTTGGTGTGAAATTTTCTAAATAATTTTGTGTGTGAGTGAAATAAACCCTAAAAATATTTTTCGAACTGTTGGTTTCTCAAGTATTTTTGTCAGTGTGAAATCATTTGAATTTTTAATGGCAGTTTTCAATTTGTATTATTGGCAATGATGATCTTTATTTTACTCATTCATGCCTAAATCTAGACTAAATGCAGTACATAAAGTTTACATGAGACAGTCGTAGAGACTCTACAACTCTAAAGATGTTCTACATTACTGTTTAACATTGTGTATCTATTATTATTGGGTAGTATTGACATTGCTGTCTTGTTCTTAGGTGGTGACCAGGAGATGTCACAGTTCTTCCGTGGCGAGCTGGCCGGCTTGCTCATCCACCCCGGCAAGACAGAGACTCGACGTGTCATCAGCTGTCTCCACAACTGCAACGAGAGTCTGGAGTTCCACTCCTTTGACGAGACCGGCCCTGGTTCAGAGGTAACCTGCATGCTGTTCATCTCTCTGTTTTTTTGAGAGGGGATAGGCTTGACTAGTTGCTGCTGTCACGGCACATTTGTTTTGTCTAAGCTTTTAAAGCACAAGTTAGCAGTGCTTCAGTGAAGCAGCTTTCACCATACACAGTACTGTAGTCATTCCAGCCATGCTTTCACAACAGAAGCACCACATTAATGATGACTCTTCTCCATAGCAGAAAAATTTATCATTTGCAGAAACGCCACAAATCATCGTCAAAGTCGGTATTGCCAGCCACCGTACACTTGCCTTTATCTTTTTATTTTTACCTAATTCCCACACTCTGCCATACCTAACCTTGCGTACTGCTATCTCTTATATCTAACCTAACTTTCTACCATCCCCATTATGCTTCCTATATGTAGCCTGGTTCTTAAGATCATCCTAACTCCACACTTCTTCATGGCTCACATTCACAGCCATAATCTCACAACACCATCCCTTTACTAAATGCTTGGCAAGGATCGTTCAATTTCTCCCCTCGTAATCTATTCTAAGACTGTAAAATAAAAGAGAATCAAGTTAAGTGCTGCATGCCTGACTTTATGGAAACCAGCATCGTTGTAGCCTCTCTGAGAGGCGGATCTAGTAGTGTAAGTACGTCAGGAGACAATGCATGGGCATGCTGAACAGTAAGTATTGCACCCAGTGAGTTTTTTGTAAAGAATTCCTTGTTGGTGTTTGTGATGGTTGATAGTTGTTATGTGGACACACTGTCTCTCCTCAGAGTAAGAGGACGAAGCGGGAGGAAAAGAGGGATAGTCTTTCCCCTGTACGTCTTTCCTTGCTGTCCTTAATTTTCTGATTTTCTGCATTATTTCCCATTCTGCCATGACGGTTGGTTATGTACAGCCTGACAGCATGAGATGTTGTGTTACATGGCTTCTGTTGTATAGGAACATGGCTGGAATGAAAGTTCTTGAAGGTTTTTGCCTGATTTTTTCCTACTTTCTATGATTTCTGTTACAACTTGCGCACTGTAGGTCTGCTATTTGCCATTTTCTTCCCATTTCTTTCTTTTCAGAAACATGAAAGTATTCACATAGAATTTCTAAAGGCAAATGTCTCTCTCTCCTGTAATGTTTCGTAGGTTCACTTCAACCCGGATCAGACACAGCTGTTCCTGAGGGGTGAGTTCACCCCCAAGAACCCCGACAACGAGGCGTACACGCTGGACAAGTACACCAAGGTGCTGCAGAAGGTGGCGTACCAGAACGGCCGCCAGTTCCCCACTCCCGGCATGCGCGCTCTCAAGATCCACACCGAAGTCAAGTAAGCAGAAATACTTACTGATACAGAACGTCTGCCTTTCAGAGGTTTTAGATTTATCCTTAAGTATTCTTATATTTACTTTTGTAGAAAACATATTGTTTTTGCTCTGTTTCTTCTTCCTCTTCTTCTCCAAACAAATACAGTCAGTGGTTAAACCAAATGTCTGTAACTAGTGTTGGATTACATTGTGTTGCAATTTTATAGCAGGAGGGATTTAGACTCCTGTCACCATATAATGAATGTTTGAGTAAGAATTAACAGAGCAGACCACATGCGAAGATAACCACCCTGCTTTTGCTTGTTCCTCCCACAGCTGCTTTGATGACGAGACGTGTATCGAGGTTCCTGACGTGGACGCCTACGTGATGGTCCTCCACCCGGAGGAGCCCACCATCAACCTGAGCGGCACGGACCACCTGGCCCGCCGCGTCACGGAGCTGGACCAGGGCGTGACCCCCTTCAGGGACCTGCGCATCGTGAGCACCATCGTACGCGACGTGGAGGAGGAGGAAGAAGAGGAACTTCAGGAGGGTAGGAACATTTTACTCTTAAAGCTAGCGTACTATTGAGAAATACAAGACTGCAGTATGAGTAGGTAGTATTGCTTGGAATGTTTGCTGTGTGTACTGTCTTCCCCCCTGGTTGGCAGGAAAGGAGCAAGAAAAAGATGAGTCAATGCGACTTCTGCATGAACAAATTCCAGATTGCACCAATTCAGCAGGAATACTTGCAGTGCTTAAAGCCTTACTGATTCTTGTTCCCTTAGTAAGCCGTTGGCAACATGATAACCTTGTATCAAATGCAAACATGAGGTGGCATGGAGGTAAATTTTTGTTTGCATGTGAAATCTGAGTGGAACATTAAACAAGAGATCGGCAACGTTCCAGTGACACTTACAAAACAAGCTTTAACTTGCAAAATAAATGTGCAATGGTACCTTTTTTTTTACTGGTGTATCCAGATGTATACAGTCCTGTAGTATGAAGTAGATTTTTAGTACCCCTTTTGTGTGTATTGTAACCCACCCAAAGTCCTGAAGGTTGCCCACCTAACTGAGCCTGTTTGTTCCGTGGATGCTTGCTTTGTCCAGAAGGCTCAGCTATGGCAGGTCAGTACGTGTCCACCCAACCCAAGCAGCCTGCACCAAAACCTCACCCGGCGCTTCCGTGCCCAAACTCCATCTTTTTGTCACAACATTACGCCCATGTTTTTTTAAGACCAGGCGACTTTTTGCCGAGAATTTTCCATGTACATCCATTGAATGTCTTTCCTACAAGATTTTTGTGGAAAATATTTATTGCAAGCTTTGTATAGCCTGCTACAAGGTGGAATATTGAAGCATTCTTACCATCACAGCATGAAAAGACGAAGCTACCAAGCATTTCAACAGGAAGCAAGTGTCTTCATCACACAACAGTTGACTGCAATACTATTATCGTTCCCTAGGAGGCGCCACTGAGGTGACCCCCATCAGCCATAACCTGGATGCGTGCCAGATCACAGTGGACCCACCACTGGAGTCTGGGAAGGAGGAGCTCACCGTGCCCAAGGAAGACCTGGCTCGCCTGCGCCTGGAGAAGTCTGCTGCTACCAACGGTCTTGTCATCAAGGGTAGGTGTAGACAGAAATTCAGGGATTGACCAAGTAGAGGCATGTACTGAAGAGATGGAAGTAAGAAATATATGTCAAGCATCCTTTTACCTTTTGTGTTGAAAAATTAGGGTAGAAAGAGGCATGTATTGAAGAACTGGAAGCGAGAAATTTATGTCAGCAAACAAACTTAGCATCTTTCTACCTTTCCTGTTGGAAAAGTAAGGTTGAAAATTTCCTGCAACAATCCAGACTTAATTGAAAGTTTTTTTTGTTGTATCTGACTTTGACAGTTGTAGAGCCTATACTTTGGCTGGTTCCTTGATTTCATCTGTACTGATCTTTACCTGAAACCTTTTGTTAAGTCTGAGGCTAGTTCAGTCTGCTGAATGCTATGTCAGATTGTGTTGAGTTTCTTTCTTTCAATAAACCAATCATCATCATACTGTGTGCTCTCTCCTGTAGGTGTTGATACCATCGCAAACTACGAGGATATCCTGCGCAAGGTTGTCTACCGTAACTCCAAGGCTGGGGACTACTTTGACCGCGTGCTGAAGCTGAAGTGCTCCGAGATGAACGGCCGCTATGAGAGCAACGAGTACGCCGTCGAGGTACATACTGTTCCTTCTGCATCTAAAGACAATCATTGTCTTGATTTTAGAGCAGCATTCTAGCCACCGTCTGTCATTTGACTGAATTTTTCCACTTGCATTGGGCAAAAATTTGGCCTGATGAACAAAAATCTGCATGTAAAGATATGGAAAGAGATTAAACTAAGCTCAGTGTACCAGAAAAATTTGCCCCTCAAAATGCAGGAAATAGCGTTTCAGAGGGTCAAGATTTGAAACCCTCTCTAGGATTGTTGCACCTACAGCGCTCAACATGATATTACATCGAACAAAGTTGAGTTGATGGAAAACATTTCAGGCTGACAGAACACTATTTCAGAGACATACCTGTTAGTCTGTTCTTTAGTAACAGGTAGTAATGATCCTGTTTATTCTGTGTCCACAGCTGAAGGTCCTCCACACCCTGAACGTTGCCAACCCTGAGAGCCATGTGAAGGTGGCTGCTGTGGCCCACAACGTGCCCGCCCAGTTTGTCCAGTCCAAGAGTGTTGTCCACGAGGCGGCCGTGCCACGCCAGGTGCCCCAGGTGGTCGCCAGCTCCCAGTCTGCCAACGGTTAGTACCTCTGTCCTGGAGGCTTTTTGGTAGCCACAAAATGTACTGCACCTTCGCGAAAATTGTAGTGTATTGTGCATAGCACTTAGGCAGAACATCATATTCGAGTATAGTCAGCAAATAACTTGTCCATGGACAAGTTATTTGCCGACTTTCTGCCTGCTGTACCTGCTACCATTGCAAACGTACAGTTCTGCAGACATGTCCTTTTTTTTTTACCGCAAACATTTCCAGTAGTTGAAGTGATTTTCCTGTTGTCATTGCAGTTGTCACCTCCTTGGTGATCGTGAATGTATAGGTCTGCGAACATGTTCATTTTTCTCAGACCTCGAACTTTACTACTGCAAACATGAAGTGATTTACAGTTGAAGTGATTGTCCTGTTGTCTGTGCAGTTGTCACCTCCCTGGTGATCGTGATCTGCGTGGGCTTCCTCATCTTCATGATCGTGCTGGGCGTGTACCGCATCCGCGCCGCCAACCGCCGCAACATGGACTCTGAGTGGGACCAGGCCGGCGAGCCCCGCATGGAGTGGGACTCCTCCGACCTCACCATCACCGTCAACCCTATGGTGAGGCTCGTCCTGTTTTTTTCTCTCCACAGACAATTTTGTATAATTGGCCATTGTCAAACCTCATATATTGATATGCAAGTAAAATTTTTGACAACTTGCAATGCTACATGCATGTACATGTATTTCCATCATTGCATAGCCAGTGCCCATGCAAATATAAGCAATTGCCAGCCCCAATATACTTTGTAATTATCATGTTGAAATCATTGTATTTGCTGTTTTACTACTTGAATACGTTTTGCATGCGTCATGTGCACTGGTGTCAGGCTGGTACCTCAGGTGATGCAGAACACTGTGTAGTATTCTCTCATATGTTCAGTTCAATGGCTATGTGGTAGTGGTACTGTTAAGCATCTGAAGTCCTTTTTTCTTGATTTTAATCTTTCGTCTTCTTTCTGCCCAGGATGTTGAGTATGAGGGAGCAGAGAGCGACTCCTCTGACGATGATGATGACAGTGCGCATGACGACTCCGACAGCTCAGATGATGATGATGAGCCCCCAAGAGAGGTACACAATCATTCCATATAACAACTGCAGTTAAACTTAGGCCTAGGAAAAAAAAGTTGTTTCCTGTTTCCCGACCGACTCGAAAAACTGCCAACCCTAGGCTTTTTTGTGGGTGGACCCCTGCAAGGGACATAAATTTTTAGAGCTGATTTAACTTTTTTCTAGCTCCATGATCTTGACACCTGAGTGATAAAACGTTTTACAATTAGTTTTCAAACATCGACATTGAAACTATACGTGTCCTCATGCAAGTTTTTACTTTGTACTGTAAAAGTTGGATCACTAGGGATTGCCAAAGTCCAACAAAAGGGTAAGAAAAAAAGATAATCCCTACCTACCGACCCCAATTTTTTCAGGACTGAAACAGGAAACAACATTTTTCCCTAGGCCCTACCTGAAAATAGAAAGAGTTGCTTATGCCTTAGATGGAGTGTTATATACAGTAACTACTAATGCATGGTGTGTGTATCTGCATGTTTTATAAGATTGCATGTGACCCTTTTCTAGGTGCTGGGCTATGAACAGGAGCTGGAGTGGGACAGCACTGCCATGGTGGCGTGAACCAGCCTTGCCACATGATTTACATCAAATCCAACAATCATACATAGATGCAACAGATACAAGCCAGTGTTTCTCACAAAAGCAGCAATTTCATGCCCTCGGTATTCATACCGTGGACACGGACTTGTTCTTAACAAAGACAACACACAGACTGCATCTTAGCTTTGTTAGTGTAAAAAGATTTTGATACATGACCAAAACAATGTACAAAAAGGGGAAGTTGGACAGGGAATGAAGCTTTGGGAAACGTGCCGAGAAACACTGTCGAGTATTTGTCCTTTTCTCTCTGATGATCACCAAATGTTGATTGATTGAATTAATGAGAAATGATGAATTATCCAATGGCAGGGCCGTGATTCACAGCTGGAGTGGGACAACTCAACACTGAGCTTTTAAGCGACCAACAACTGGATAGGCTGTACTGAGAGAACAAGAGACAGCAGGAAGGAGGAGACTTAGTATAAAGAAGTGGCGATTTCTGAGCGGAAGAATCTGTGTATAAATTACCGTACATAATGACATGCCCAGGACCATCCCCTGAAAAATAAAAATTCACAGAGATGCACTCGCGCTAACGTTGCATGGTTACTGGCACCTATTCTACAAGACTTAAAAAAGCTTGAATGGAGACAGGTTGATCAAAGTTTTATTGATGGTTGTAACAAAAAAAAATTACTTAAGTCATCTAGAAGTGATGCCCTTGTGTAATGTCTACTTAAAGACCAAGTGATGTAAGATGTATGGAAGCAATAGTTGGCTAAGCAGTGTACTTGAAGACAGTAAGTTAAACCCCTGTAACACTACGATCCTCGAAAGACATATCTATTTTGATGTGAGTGGTGTAACTCTTAGCTTAATGATCATAATGATAGCTTTGCATGATGTAAATGATGAAATCATGATAACAGGAGAAACTGTAGAGTGTGCAGTGGGAGGGGGGCATTTTAAGAAAAAAGGTGTTACTTCTAATAGATAATATCTGTATAAGGACATGGTCCTGGGCATATTTCTATAGAGAAAATAGGGTGTACATGTATACAAATCAGGATTGGGTATAAGATTATTAACGTAACTACAGCTAAGTTTGTCCGTAGTAGAACTCAATTGGATGTATTATGTGATGAAAAAAAAATGATGCTCATTCCTAACTTAATCGTATATGCATATGGAACTGGTGTGAAGCTTAAGAATACATATCTGCGCAGTTGTATGAAGACAAGAACAAAAGTACTGAATGTGTAGCTAGCTGCAACACTGTAGAGTTTTGTAATCCACATTTTAGGGATTGGGGATATAGGGTTGCACTCGCTGAGTTGATTTTATGGTATTTTAATATTAGTGTGTGTGTGAGCATGTTGTAATGTCTTTAAACAAGGGTTATAAGGTTGTGATTGTATCCATTTTGTTCTGATTTTTTTTTGTATTCCTGTCTGCTTTGCGTCCTCTTCCAATGATTTCTCCTGCACTGTTTTGATAATAAAAGAGAGGGATGTATAATTTCTCATACCATAGAAAATACTGTTGGCAAGAAGCAAAGGTTAAGATAACAACAAGATACAAGACTTAACGTCTCTTGAACATTCCTGTATATGTAGAAGCACTTACGAAAAACTGCTGAACGTATTCCCCGTGTAAATCTCTTCACATTTCTCCAGGCTTTCATCATGGCAGGATAACATGTACATGTACTTATACTTACCTACCCTACAGGTTTGTAAGAATCTGGACTGTGTTGTACTGTCATTAAAACTGTTTGGCTTTCCCCACACAAGTGTGGAGTCGTTTGTGTGTTGTTTTAAACTCGGTTGGCAAATGTTAGATGTACAACTTAAGTAATCTCCAAGCAGATCTTTCGGTGGCAAGACCGTATCCATTGGCCAGAGGAGTGTCCATTAGCTTCGGTGGCTAATGGACACTCCTCTGGCCAATGGATACTGTCTTGCCACCGAAAGATCTGCTTGGAAATTACAACTTAAGCAGTGAAGTAACACAAATGTCATATCAAGAACAGCAGCTGGTAACTGGCCAATTGGTCAGTCTGGCCAATTTGATTCTGTCTGTGCAGATACCAAAAGATCTGCATGCTTGGAGATAAGGTCATGATATCAAAATTTGAAAATGTAGAAATCTTGTTTTTTTGACGCCTTGTTTTTTCGCCTATCGCAGTCTACGGGTGATGTCATCCAAACAATTTACTTCCTATGGCCTAATTAATGCAACATCAGCAGGGCGTACTTGACCGTAAGGTATAGCGTTACATTTGTAACTGGAAACAAGCAACTTAACAGAAAAATGACGAAAATCATTTCAAGCATCATCTTAACAGTCATTTGTTAATAACATATCACACTAACATTACATTAGGAAGGCAACAAGTTTGATCCACAAAATCTGATTGGATAATGTTAACGTTACTTCTTTATACAAACGTCTTAAACTATGTATGTGACACGAGAAACACCAGAACTAGCTGGGGTCGCCCTAAAAATGCACATGTGGGCTAAAAGTTACTCCTCTGGCAAATTAGATGACTTTTCCAATCTAGGGAGCCTTAAGACAGCGTTTCATAACGCAGTGCGCCTGACGTACCAATTATATCTGCACAACGATAATGGCGTGGCAGCAAAGGCCTCAAGATGACAAGAAGCGAAATTGCTCAGACGTGGCTATATAGATTACATGCATGATAAATCCGACAAGGTGAAGGTAGGAAGGTGATACATGTAGTAGTGCAAGGCCAAGGACGTTCCCTGGTTCTTCGTTAGGATACCGCGATGAGAGTTTATTTGCATCAAATTGTAATTACTTCCATGAAAAATGGAGGTATTGTTTTTGGCGCGTCTGTATGTGTGTGTGTGTATGTATGTGTGTTTGTGTTTCCGCACAATTGTAGTCAGCATAACTTCAGAACGCCTTTATGGATTGTGATGATATTTGGTATGCTGGTCGGTCTTAGGAAGCCAACGGTCAAGGTCAAATATGGGCTTCCTGGTGGCTGACCTTGGTACTGAAGCAGAACTAAAAAAACTAATATATTTCATGGAGGTATGAGTTCTCTGAAGTCTTGTTACTAATTGTGCCGCTTCAAAATTCGTGATTAACATTCTCCATCGTCAAGGACACACTGTGTAACCATTAACGGATTAGGAACTTCTAGAGTTTAATCTTTCTCCAAATAAGACAGTCCCAATACGCGTAACGGCCTTGAAAAATGGATTGTCAATAAGCCGGAGTCATCAATCATGTAGCAAGACGTTTTAAGTGGATTTGATCCAAAAGATGTACAGTGACCAGAAAGAGAATCCGCACATTATATGTGCACAGGTGACCGCACATTATATGTCAGGTCAGGTGAGGCCTCTCTTCCATAAGTTCTAACTACGTACAAAATAACTTAGACTGCCGATTGCTAGTCTCCACCAGACTTCTTTTGCGGGGTGAATAAATCGTAGAAATCGGCCTAAAATACCCTGGATGCCAAACTAGTATCGGGCCGTTAGCCGTTTTCCTTCGGCAGCCAAGAGCCCTTCGCCCGCCTATCTAATACCGCTACGGGGGAGTTGAGCCCGAGGGGTGTAGGGCCAGCCAAACTCCCCCGGGCTAGACTCCCCCGTAGCGGTAATTTACACCAGCGGGCGAAGGGCCCTTGCGGCCCGGAAAACGAGTTCTGGATTCCAGGGTAGCCTAAAAAGGGTATTAATTGGCCAGAGAAGGTAGCCGGACCGAGAAGCTCCATTTCCCCGCCGAGAAATGGAGCTTCTCTGGCCGGCTACCTTCTCAAAAGAAGTCTAGTGGAGACTAGCCGCTTGCTGTTAGCTCTTGTTGACTTTTGTAGTAATGTGTGGCATCGATGTAACTATAGCTTCCTTTAAATACATTTTCAATTCTAATCATGGGAGAACAACTATTCGATTCCCTTTACGACTAGCACGTATGGTGCAGGATGTATATATAATAATTTGACACAATAGACTTCACCATGTCATTATTGGCAACTCAATAGTTTGTGTTGATTCCTGTTGTTGCTGTCACTAGTATGCGTCGAATCGTACAAGGTTACACGGGTGTGTGCTTCCAATATAACTTGTCAAATGTAAAATCTACACATCAAAGACCAAGTGTTTAGTGAAAATATGATGAATGTTTTCATACATTTTCTTGAGCGCACGGCGGTAGATCTGGTAGCGGAACGCGTAGACCAGGGAGTCGGAGAACGTCGCACTTTGCAGCAGGATGGTGGTGACGTCGCACCACGGGGCGGCGTTAGCGAGGGATATCGAACCGGCCTTCATCGAGACACTGACGACGAACGCTGGCAGCCATGTGATCCAGTTCACCAACACGACAATGAGCAGCGTGTTGACTGCCTGGATCTTTGATTCCCGATCTTCAGCCTGCGCGTTCCACGTCATCTTCTGGTTGTGTTTCTTCTGGCTCCGCCTGGTCTCGTAGTAGATGAGGACGACCAGGCAAACGATGCCCACCATGGCCAGGAGGTTGATGATCACGGCTAGTGTTATACCCTCCGGACCGGCTAAGCACGGTGTGATCAGGGTTTGCGGTTTCTCCAGGCCTCTGAGGACCTCCTCGGCAGCCACAGCAGTGAAGAGACGGACGGGGGACACTCCGATGGCCGCCGGTGTCACCGCTATCACGACGCACAGGCACATGGCGAACGTCATCCGCTCACGGGTCAGGACCTTCTTGTAGCGCAGTGGGAAAGCGATGTGGATGTAACGGCAGATCCACACACAGAGGAGCGAGTGAATGGAGAGGATAGACAGGAAAATGATGAAGAAGGCTTGCAGCCTGCACCACGGTCCAGCCGGATAGCTGCCGTGTGCTAAGCTGGAGATGGCGATGGGGTGGTAGGCCATGGCTAGTGCCGTGTCGGTGATGGCCATGGCGGCGAGGAAGTAGTTACCTGGTTCCTGAAACAAGATTATCAAAGATTACGTTTACTGAATGTTCCAGACATCTTACGTTTTGTGACATGCTATTTTGCAGCTTTTCCTTTCAAATCATAATATTCTTTCCTTGCAAATAATGATATCTCTGCATGATACTAGTACTTAGTTCTGCGCAGTATGATTCAGAAATCAAGCTACATTTGTAGGTGTATGATCTCGACCATGATATGGCCTCAAATAAGAGCCTCGCCATAATTAGTAAACAACTCTTGAGATAAAATTACGGTGACTGTTTCCCAAGCACAACGTTAACGTCCGCCTACAGACATGCATTTTTAATAAAACTTCAGATATTCGACAATTTGTGGGTTGTATAGTTCCCACACAGGTCGTTAACGAATGAATGAATGAAAACCTTTATTGCACATTTCTGCCACACTTGGCTAAGTACAGGTCACAACAAAACAAGATGAATGGACACGGTGAAGAATGCAAGTCGTTTCTACGCTGGACGTGAATGAAAAAAAAAAGGTAGATACGTATCCACTTTGTAAGTATGTATGTATTTTGTCTTTGTGAGTTCACTCTCGTTTTATGTTACTGTATACTGAGAAGGCGTCACATAATCAACCGTGCATCTTGCCTAATACTCAATAAATATATGTGCATAATTAAACAAGACACGTACGCCAAAAAGCAGTTACTCAAGCAACTGGATATGATTTTGGAAATCATATCCAGATGCTTCAGTGACTGCTTTTTGGCGTATCTTATCTATACCTGGATGTCTAACCTTCATCGACGTAAAAAGACACGTACGTACCTTCATGTGATCTGTACTCAAGATGACTCCCACTAGGCAACTGTTACCGAACAGCGTGAGGAGTAGGAAGCAGACCATGACCAGAATAAGTAGCGGCGCCACGGACGGCACGGCCCCGTACAGACCGCAGAGGGCCGGCTCGAAGACCACCGTAGCCAGGGTGTTGTTCTCCGCGGTCACGTTGCCCACGACTTCGCACACTCCCGCCACTTCGGTGACATCCCGCACCGCTCGAGCGATGAAACCTGTTGCGTTTCTCTGGTTCATCTTTCCGTTTAAACGCACGGGAAATTTGTAGAGATCCGAGTTAAATACTACGTGAAAATCATACTATAGACGGTGCAGAGACTGCGAGAACCGACGGTCGCTCGGAAAAAGAGAAATACCAGTTCATTCGACAGTAATTGAAGCGCACTTGGAGTTGAATATTGGATAGAACATGAATATGTAACAAATTGCGAAAGGTTAGGAAAAGGTCTCTGTGGCGAGCAATTACATAAAGTACTGCAGTGGTGGGGACGCTTCCCAAGACTAACTTGGTAATGGCATGTACATGATATGAATGATTCATTTCACAACTGCTGAAAAGGGAAGTTGTGGAAAATAAATACGAAACGTATAGCAGGATTTGTCCTTTTGTGCATCATCACTATTAATACTTTGACAGTACAGAATTTTATTGACTTTAAGGCCTCCTGCACAGCACTAGATCCACTTCTTCATCGCCTCCTATGTAGCAGACACAAAGACAGGAGACAAAGAGACTATAAAATACGAATACACGTAGCTTATTTTTATGGCAAAAAAGTATGTGGTTCCATCCTGTTCGCGTTTAGGGCACGAAATTTCATGGATTTGCTGGTCTTTGAATAGACCTAGCGTCGCCCAAATGTGTGCATGCGAACACTTAAATTTAATACCACGAGCAAGGCTTAGTAAATTACAACGGCTGCGTTGCGCCATACTGTTATAACGATGTTGTGGATCGTTGCTGTAAACCACGAAAGCTTCTTGCTTGCTTAAGTTCCCAAGAGACTTCTTAAGTAAAGTCCCGTTAGTATCCGATGCCTATCCTTCTTCATTCTGCCCTCAAGTTCGAATCCCGAATGAACTCCATGCCAAATGTACTTAAAATGTGAAGTTTGTGGCGACACAAATTGCCATAGCCACACATCCGGAGTGACAACCGAGTGGTGAATAGTTAATAAGAAGAGAAATGCAGTGGAGAATTCAATGCAGTGAAAGGTCATTAGGTTTTTTCTTTTACATATGGAGGCAAATGGAGCTCCGGAGGCGGTAATATCAACGCACAACCTCTCTTACCCATTTAAGAAGTAATTTACACATAACTAAAATACGCAATTTACACATACGCAGTTTTTGTACCAAGAGACACCGGTCTCTAGATCAGTGACATTATATAGGATTGGACATATTCCTTCCGTCGCAAAAGGAGGCGGCAATATCAACGCACAACCTCTCTCATCCCATTTAAGAAGTAATTTACACACAAGTAAAAATACGCAATTTACACATACGAAGTTTCTACCTAGAGACACGGGTCCCTAGATCAGTGACATTATACAGGATTGGACATATTCCTTCCACCGTTCAAAAGGGCTAAAAGCCCGAAGCGTCAGACTTGTTTTCCTTCAATTCTGGCTTCCTTCCAGACAGGTACAGTTCCACGTCGCCCCACTAAAAGCCCATGTGCTTCGCCTTTGCACCAAATAAGCCAAAGAGGTCCGCTCAATAAGCTCTTATGCATTGCCTCAAGCTGTCGACATGCACAACAAGTGCCTTACGACGTAGGTCTCAGGCTTTGCCTCTCACGCAAAGAGGATTCAGATAAAAGCACAGCCTGATTTGGAAACTACATGTAACTACGTATGACAGTAGGGAGCGGAGAAGAAGAAAATAAATAAAATGAATAAAATGTGCTTGCATTGTTACCGAAATCCCACAACAGGCTCTACACTTGTTACTGTAAATTCATCCGGGGAGATTTAATTTTGTGGCAAATCACTGTTACATGTATACAACTGTACGTAGTAATGTCAGATAAAACACTGCAAAGTACGTTTATGGTGACTTCTAACATACAGCCCCCTTCCCCCGATAATCCACATCTATCTACATCTGTAACTTAAGAACAACACACTTGCAGTCACAGGGCATAGTGTTCCGGGAGAATGTTTCACGATTTACGATAGAAATAATTTTTCTCTGATATAATCTTTTTTGGTGAAGGTACATGTAGCACTTGACCTCAGAAAGAAAGAAAGAAAGAAAGAAAGAAAGAAAGAAAGAAAGAAAGAAAGAAAGAAAGAAAGAAAGAAAGAAAGAAAGAAAGAAAGAAAGAAAGAAAGGGTTGATTTTAGGGACCATATGCATAATGACTCATTTGAACCACAGATGTTTTTGTGTCTTGATGTTTCCACACACTCGGTCAGGGAGCTTAAGGGGCATTCCTGTTTCTCATGACCGTTTTACATGTATTGTGTAAATAAAGTTGAAATAAATAGATAAAAAGAAGTTATGGTTAATTTTTATGATGTTTGTATGTGTAACCTTAACAACATTACTTACAACTACCTTCAGATAATTCATTAAAAATGTTGCCAGCACATGTAGACCATGCCCATGTTTATGATTTTCATGTTTCAACAGAATGGGAAACAAATTTTACGAAAAACACACAACAAACATACAAAAAAAGACTTTCATTCACATGTAAATGAGACCATATCTATTTCTTATCCTATGCATGGTATACAAACTAAGACCCTAGCCAGTTCAAACACTTCCAGGTATATACATGTATAATGTATGTAAAGCTATGTAATGGAGAATATGACCTAAGTTTAGCTAATGATCTTATTTGCATAATCAGTGAGAGACAGCTACAAGTCATGAGTTTTAAAAGTTAACATCATTTGGCGAAGGTATGAAATCGTGGAACTGTAGTTGTCATATGTACTGATCAGTCACCAAACTTAACTGTAGTGAGATGTGAGAACATGAAGCTACAGAAAAGTAGGATAATGCGAGAAGGGGCACATATACAAAGTGTAATGACTCTTGCACAGCTTGTACTTCTAACAAGTCATAAAACAGATCTGATCTGTGGTATGTATCTATGCCTCATATTAAAAGTGTTATATGCCAATATCACTCAGAACTACAAATATGTCAAGCACCCAGCATTTTACATGATGTTTTTCAATGTTTTCCAAAAATGTTTTTCAAGTACATGTAGTTTGATACCCTTTACATCAATTGAAAAGTTTTCAAACTGGTTACCCTAACTGTCCCTCCATATCAGCTACCTTTACCAGTCAAACAGAAGCAATGCTCATCTCTTTAGATGACTGCCTTGTCTTTAGATAAATACAGAGTTTAGTAGCACGTCGGGAGAATGTACTGCGCCTGTGCAAAACCCCGATTTTTCGTAGGATTTTTGGTTAATGTTGCATTAGAATTTTGACATCTTTTCCGACATAACATTTGAAAACTACAGACGGGATGTTAACCTTACATACTCGACCTTACGTGCGACATTCCTCCAAAGTGCTATGTACAACACATAACTGGTTTTGTGCAGGTGCAGTGCATTTTGCTGATGTGCTAGAGTTTAGTAGGTTTATGTTTGGGACAGACAGGTGTGACTACGGACACTTCCTCTCCACACAGCCCTTCCCAGCTTCTTCATACTCCTGCTTGGAGATCCACATCTGTTGGAACGTTCCCTGCAAGAGAAAGTTTATTAGTCAATGTGTGGCATAATCTTACAACTTTTCCATATGTTGTGAGCAAAATTCAACATACATAAACATACATAGGCCAATGTACAATGTGTATCTCTAACACTGAACTAAAAAGAAATCATATCATTTCTGCCACAAAGAACTGATAGTGTTTAGTAGAGCTGTGTACCGGTACGCAGTACCGATACTGTACCGGAAAAATTGATTAGGTACAGGTCCAAAATACCTAATCCCTCAGTACCGGTACTGTACCTAAACAATTTCACACCAATTTTATGCCTATTTGTGACCTCAAATGTTTAAATAGCTGGTTAACAATGGGTGCCTGTGTAAGGACAGTGTGTTCATGAAAACAAAAACATCTTAGTTTTGCCTATATTTTATCTGAGCATTCGCCATAAACAAAGAATAAACCTTAACTATCAAGTTTATTTATGTTTTTTTGTTATTGAAGGAGTTCAGAAGAGCATATAAATTGGTCGAATTGTTCAGGTACAGGTTCAGGTCCGGACCTGTACCTAAACCTGTGTACCTGTACCTGTACCTGTACCTGTACCTAAAATTTGTTTAGGTACACAGCTCTAGTGTTTAGTCATGTGTTCTATAGCATTGTACATGTAGTAAGCAATAGTGTAGATATCAGTTTCAAACTTAGTACTTCTCAAGAATTTGCCACGCATTGTACCTGTTGCAATTGTCATGCAATAAAGATTGATTGAGTGACTGAATATAAAGGAATGAACTTCTTATTTAACTAACTGGCATCACTGAATTATGTGTACATTAGATGACATGTGCACAAGATTCTGTGATCTGTGAGAATAGGACAGCTCAAAACAGCCTGACATCACTGAATGCTGTGCACAGAGATGTGTGATGTCAATGTACACAGGATGTGGTGATGTCGTCAGAGCTGTGTGACTGACCAGTGAAGCGAGGATGGACCCTCCTATCCAGCTGCTGAACCTGCGCTCGGCTGTCCCACTGTTGTGGATCATCTTCAACCTCATACTCTGTAAGACAGCGTTTTTTAAAAATCTTTCTTTTATTGAGTTTTATAAATGAAATAAATGAACAAAAAAGCATGGCAAATATATAACTGACACATGTAGTATGGCAAAACAAATAATAATAAACCCGGGAACAGACATGTTAACCATTTAGCAACCCCAATGCCGAAAACATCATTTATCCTTTAGAATAGATCACAAATTACCTAATAGTATATATCTATTCAGTTACCTACTACATGTATATATCTTTCACCAGAAAATACAGTATTAAAATTTCCCCATTTTCCCTTATGTTTATGAACTTAATCTTGTCTGTATGCAATGTTCAATTCTAGTTTGTAAATATATGAAACAAAGGATTTGAAAGCAGACAGATTTAAAGAATATTTCTTATGTCTAAAAACAAATATCTTTCCAAGAAGAAGAATAACATTGGACAGAACAGGGCAACGGTCACCTGTGGTACCAAAATTATATTGAGTGCATTAATATGCCATGGTTTGGTACAGGTCAGCAGTGTAAGAAATATCATAACTGATACCACTGAAGCAGCGCTTTAGCCAGCCGGAATTTTTTTCCTGTGATGTCAATTTTCTTTTTTTTCAGTGTCAAGCACCAAAGGTAGAAGATGTCGTGTGGAAAATGTGGAAGAATTGACCCTCTGAAACACAATTTCCTTTATTTTGAGGGGCAAATTTTGCTGGTAGACTAAGCATCTCTTTCCATATCTTTACATGCTTATTTTCGTCAAAGATGACGGATTGGAAAAAGTTCTTGTCTATCATGAGTGGCAAATTTCTGTCAAATGGTGGACATTTGCTGACTCAAACATTGCACTGAAGCATAGGGTGTTTACTAAACGTATACCTGAAAATTGACTAAAAAATCACAGTTCAAATGCTTGTACCACAGACACATCATTGTGTCAATTTAGAAATTTTCTATAAGACTTCCTCTGCATTTTTTGTTACATGTTGTTGTTGTTGTTACATAATGAGCAAAGACAACAAAAGTTACCCATAGGAAATTTGTGGCAAGTGCATTTTGTAATTTCCCAAATCCACAGTCCATCCATACTTACCGGAGGTGTTTTACTGCTCAGTTCTTTGTTGAGTCTGTCGGTGAATCCTGAGAGTAGAGAGTTTCCCCCCGTCACTACAACACTACCATACAGGGCCTGGAGAAAAACAGCAAACAGCTCAAATTATACATGTACATTCATAGTGACATTCATAGCAGCGTGCGTAGTCCAGTGGTTAGCGATCCTGCCTCTGGACTAAGATATTGGGTGTTCGAATCCCGGCTGTTGTCGCTCACCCGACATGCACACTACTGTTTAGGGTCGCAGTCCTTCAGACGGGACATTAAGCCGTGGTCCACTGTTCATTGTGCTTGTCGAAAAGAGCTAGGGGAATTTCTTCTTCTTCTTCTTCCATCTAATGCCCACAATCGTAGGGACGATTATTCTGGCATTTCCCCAGTACAATGAACCTGTAAATACTGTACATAGTGTCTGTCTTCTCTGTCACGACCAGTGGAAGAGTAGCTCTTTAATGAGCTAAACTGGTTCAAGATCACTTTCACTTTCACATTGACTGTTTCGAGTGGTCAGTTAAACGGACACAAGATCGAGAGGTCACAGGTTCGATTCCTGGTATTCCTGATTGTGTTGCATCCTCTGGAAAGGCAGTTTACAAGATTTTCCTTACACTGTCATGTAGTACTTAACTTAGGTTGTGGAGGTAAAAGGCAATGGAAGGAGAGGGATGGGCTCCACCTTCCAATACTGTGCCCTAGACACTATGAGACTACCATACCTTTACCTTTCCCTTTAAAGGCATCCAGTGCAGTTTTTAGGGCTTGAAAAGCAGTTTTTACAAAGTCAATATTCTAGTCACTTATCTACATACTAAGTTGAAACAACAATGTCCCAACGTACATGTATATCGACATTCATGGAGCAAAAATGCAGCAAATTTGACGGAAAATGATTACTGGAAGGGCCCTGTGCTGATTTTTAGGGTACCACCAACAAAATAAAGGACTAATATTGGGGCTTTTTTCTGCAGTTTTAAAAGTCCAAAGTATGAAATACTGACCCAAATGTGCTAATGTGAAGCAGTATGTGTCAATATCACAAAGATTGCCTTATTCAGAATATTTCCAGTTTTGCTGCCTTGATATCACATTGGATGCCTTTAAAAAAGCAAAGGGACTAACAACACTTGTAAGACTGATATATTGTTGTAATTTTTCTGTAGCTTGTGAAGATGAAACCTGAGTACTTACCGGCCTGAGGTCTATGTCACACATGCCTACACTGGTGGTGACAGAATGCCCCACTCCCAACATGGTGTTACTGGCCATGCCCTGAACAAACACACAAGAAAAGTCTGGTTAATGATGGAATTCTTCATAGTAAGAGGAAGGATTTACACTGATACACATGACTTAAAGTTGTGTAAAGCGTAGAAGATTTCTTCAGTATGGTTAACGTTGATCTTATACTTTGACATTGAAATAGAAGCTTTAAGTACAAGTAACATCTGTGTCCACAATATCACCAGAGTCCATAATATCGCCACCTTGAGAAACAGTGCTTAAAGATATTCTTACTGCAACATACTTTTGGTATGCACTCCTGCACACCTCAAATGTACATACCTAGGGTAAGTTGCAGTAAAAATATCTTTAAGCACACTGTTTCTTAAGGTGGCGATATTATGGACCCTGGTGATATTATGGACACTATGATACAGATTACACACAAGTACACAAGACTATTATACAGAAAAAGACAGAATATTTTTCGATGGGGAAAGGAGACAACTTCTTACTAGAAAGGCCAATATTTGCTTTGGAGCAAATACAGCGATGGGTTCACCACATTTTACGACGTCATGGCAGGGAAAGAATGAGAAACACAAGGGAAAACAATGATTTACATTGATATAACTATAATATGAAGTAACATACAACTAAGACTACAACAGTTGGCTAGCTATTCCCTACATTATTGGTTAGGATTTTTAATTGCATAATGCAAACTGTTGATTTAAAAAAAAAAAACGTTCATGCCCCGCATTCCAATGCTGGAGCAGGAAAGCTTGAAATACCTACCAAAACACTTGAATACAGACATACTGTCAGTATGGAAATGGTCTGTGCAGGTGTTAATCAAGTTAAATCCCAACAGCCAATCAGCAAGAAATGCTCTGTGCAGGTGGAAATGGTCTGTGCAGGTGTTAATCAAGTTAAATCCCAACAGCCAATCAGCAAGAAGAAGAGAGGAAAGCTGCATGCCTATTGGTTGATGCCCTGCATTCCATTGTGATGACTCATGCCAAATGTGGTTAACACTGCCCACTGACACAGTAATACATTTGCTATAATACAGCCAAAAAACTCAAATAAAACCATTCTAAAAGCCTGTATCACAAAAATTTAAAAAACGCCTAAGGGTATTTGCCCACTGTACCTCCATACCAAATTTCAGGACCTTGGGCCCTAAAATGAAGAAGCTGAATCCATTTAAAAAATGGCAGGAGGAGAAGGAGGAGGAGGAGAAGAAGAAGAAGAAACACCAGAAAAAGCAATATGGTTTCACCACACCACTTCGTGGTGTGGTGAACCCATAATAAACTGTACTAGCCGAGAATTCCAAAACATGGGCCTTGGCAACAAAAAAGCAGAGTCTATTAGAAACTTGTGTGGTCCAGATACACCAGACCAGTGTGACACAACTGACCTTCACAACTGAAGGGTCAAACAGAGCCTCACACACACGAAATCTCTCACTGCCGAAGTCCTGGTTGTAGCCGTTTGGCAGCTCATAGTGGATGGTGGGCATCTGGACAGCAACCCTACATGGGGAGAAAATCATGTTAAAATTATGAGTTTTTTAAAATTTATTTTACTTCATCGGTCACCACAAAACAAGGCTCATGGGAGCCACTTAAAATGTTTTGGGTTAGAGAACAGCCAGAGTGGACAGATGTTTGTTGACCTTAGACTTGAAGAGTTTAATGTCATAGGGGAAGCAATCATGACGTAGCTTATTCCAAAGTGATGTTGTTCTTGGAAAGAAGCTTTCAGCATGGAACTTCCTCCTAAGAGGTGGTGAATGGAGGAAGAAAGGGTGATTTGCTTATTTTTGGAAGTTGGAGAAAACTTGATGGCTACATCTTAAGAAAAGACATGTGACAAATCTCACTGGGTCAGTCTATTGAAGAAGATCAGTGACTGGTCGAAAGGACTAGGTAAGAACAACTTGTTGTGTTGGAACAAAAGTTTTAACTTTCAACTTAGTTTCAAGAATTACTTGCTTTACTATGATTTATACAAGTTCATGTTTTCTCTGCTGCCACATCCCATAACCAATACAGATTAGGTGTTATACAGGTTCCTTAGCAGGCTGAGGGTTAAAAGGCAAAAACTCAAGAGACACTCACTGTTCCTCATACGGGCTGTCTGACAACTGCAAAACAGACGCCTGGAAGTCTCGCAACACCTCCTGGTAACAACACAACAAAGACACTTTCTTACTTATCTATAACCATCTCTACTTATGAATATATCTCCTTTGTCAATAAATACCCCATCTCTGCCACCTTTCGATGAAGACAGAGTTGATGTAATGATGTAATTATGTTTACCGAAGGAAAACATATTGTTTTTACTCAGTTTCTTCCTCCTCTTATGTTGCAAACACTAACCTCTGACGTGACCAATGACATGATTTGTTGACGTCTGTCACCATGGTGACGGGTGTTGGGTTACATATTGTTGCAATTTCATGGTCTGCTCTACTCCTGTCACCATATACTAGTAGTACACGTAATTATATGAATGTGTTTGAGTAAAAATTAACAGAGCAGACCATGTCCGAAGGTAAACATTATGCATTTGCTTTGCAAATGTTACTTCTCTAGTTACAGTACATATTTATTGGTCATAATATTAGACAATAAGCCAAAATACATTTTCACATACTGGACGTTAGCAGTACTGATATACAAAGGAAATTAAAATACATGAATATTTGTGTTAGAAACCCAGTTTGAATACTTACATCCACCATGTAGTTGTGGAAGGACTTTGTCGTGGTCGGAACATTTTTCTTTTTCCAGACCGGCGGGGCAGTGTCTCGGACTTGTTCCTATTAAAAAGTGGGGAAAAAACTTGATGTCAGTAAAAATAGGATGTTTCTTCAAATCGTTATCCCAACCTTATGCAGGGCTCGAAATACTTTTTTCAGCCAGGTGGTGCATGTTGCCACCTGAGTCAAAAGCCAGGTGGCGCCATCAGTATTCAAGTGGCAACACTTCCAAGTTATCATTTTCTTCAAATCTGCTACTTATATCTATTACGTTTTCTTCTAGTTAACTAATTAAGTTTTATGTTATAAAATAAAGTAATGTAAAGAACACAAAAGCTCTCAAACAACAATGTTTTAATAAAGAATGCCACCTTTACATTACTTCATCACAGGGCTGCCGCCGTGGGAATGCCACGCCTCTACATGGCGGCACACTTATGCGGGTGGTGTTACGTGCGCCATGTTCTTCGTTTGCGCAAGGATAATGTTACTCTCATCTGCCAAATAAACATACCCCCCGGAATAAACATACCCGCCGGACAAATCTTCAAAATCTAATAAAAAATGGTATTAGCTCCCTTGATTTAAAAAAAATTGGGCATAGGTTCCCCGGATGACCCCTAACCGGGGGCCAACGGTGCTTCCACAAGTTCAACAAGTGAAAAATACATGATACAAATTGTACATGTACTTATTACCTGGAACTTGGAGCAAGTATTCCTAAGGTGTTACGGACATAATTAATATAATAATATACCAAACTTTTTAACCCAATCATAT